ACCTTCACAACTATACACTGCACACTTAAATCACCACTTCTGTCTTCTCAATTCTCATGAGGCATCAGTGTTCTCTGACTCAGAGCAAAGGACCTCAGACACCTCCGACAAGCAAGAAGACTCTGAGGAACATTCTCCAACCAGGGCAACGTTCCCTGAATTCCCAAAGTGGCGGGATGGCCTTTCTTAAGCCCAGCTGCAACACTTCAGGCAGTGGAACTCCTAGGACAGTGGTGCCAACCCTATGGCATGCATGCCACAGCGGGCATGCAGAGCCCTCCCTACTGGCATGCAAGCCAAGTCGCCCCAGCATCGCCCCAGAAGCTGAGCATGGGGTAACAGCACACAGAAGGGTGATGCTCAGAAAGGAGCAGCAGTGCCAGGTGATGATGTCATGAGCCACAGCTCATTAGCCGCAGCTCATCCAAGATTTCGCATGGCCGGTCAGTGCACTGCAAAGGATATATATATATTTGTTTGGACTGGCTGTGAGTTGTTTTTTCTAAACTAAAACCTCAGTTTTCAGGTTTTATAGCAGTGTTGGCACTTTGTGATAAATAAGTGGGTTTTGGGTTGAAGTTCGGGCATTTGGTCTCTAAACGGATCACCATCTCTGGGTTAGGGTTAGAAAAACAAAGTGTCCTGGCATGATTTTGAGGGTTGGGATGTGTTTAGAATGGGCAGAAAAGATGAGCTGTGCAGAAAAAGCTACTCAAGGAAGGCTTTTTCAAAATAGCCCTCTTTTCTATGGAACTTTACGCTCTATTAGGGTTAGGGGTGTGCACAAGGGTAGGGTTAGGGTTCGAAAAACGAGGTGTCCTGGCATAAATTTGTTGATTGGGATGTGTTTAGAATAGGCAGAAAAGATGAGCTGTGCAGAAAAAGCTACTCAACGAAGGCTTTTTCAAAATTGCCCTCTTTTCAATGGAACTTTACCACTCTATTAGGGTTAGGGGTGTGCACGAGGGTAGGGTTAGGGTTTGAAAAATGAGGTGTCCTGGCATAAATTTGTTGGTTGGAATGTGTTTAGAATGGGCAGAAAAGATGAGCTGTGCAGAAAAAGCTACTGAACAAAGGCTTTTTCAAAATCGCCCTGTTTTCAATGGAACTTTACCACTCTATTAGGGTTAGGGGTAGAAAAATGAGGTATCCTGGCATGATTTTGATGGTTGGAATGTGTTTAGAATGGGCAGAAATATTGACCTGTGCAGAAGAAGCAACTCAAGGAAGGCTTTTTCCAAATCCCTCTCTTTTCAAAGGGACTTCAGCCCTACATTTGGGTTAGGTGTATGCACCAGGATAGGGTTAGGGCAGTGGTGGCAAACCTACGTCACGCTTCCCACAGCAGGCGCGCAGAGCCCCCTCTTTCAGGTCACCCCAGCATCAACCCAGCAGCCAAGTATCGGATAACAGCGCACATAGGGGCCATGTGTATGTCTGGATAGGAGTAATGGCACCAGGCAATTATGTCATGAGCCACGACTCATTAGCTACGACTCATCCGAGCTTTTGCATGGCTGGTCAGTGCACTTCCAGGGAGATATATATACATATATGCTTGTTCTGGCTGTGAGCTTTTTTCTAAACTAAAACTTCAGTTATTGTAGTTTTGGCATGTTGCGATAAATAAGTAGGTTTTGGGTTGCAGTTTGGGCAGTCGCTCTCTAAAAGGTTCGCCATCATTGTCCTAGGAAGACACTCCTGGTCTAACTAGATAACCCTGCCAGTAAAGGGTTAGAATTGTATCAGCAGAACTGCTTCCCTTGGTCCTGAACACTCCAATTTCTGGGCCAATCTTTGAGGTGATGCTCCTGATGCTGTTTCTGTGCAACTCTTCTTTCCCACCCTGGATGCAGCAGGTGGCAGAATCACAGGTGCTGTATCACATGTTTGCTGAAGGACTTTCAATGTATGAAGAAGAGGTGTTTTTAAAGACAATACTGCTTTCTAAAGGGCCAGTGTGGTCAGACAGATAAGACCTGTGTACAAACCCAAACACAGGAGCCCTTTAATATGTTAATAGTTTTTCTAGGTACATGGTAGAATTTTGTAGCATCTACCCACATACACAAAAATTGCACAGGGATGCTTCTGAAAAATAAACTTGGGGTATCCTGTTTGCTGGCAGCTCTGTGTTCTTTTCAACAGGCTGCTCTGGTCTATGACTGGAAGTGGACATTGGGTTCACCTAACGTTCCCCAGAAGGCATTTGCAAAGGAGCTGTGGCTAGCGACCAGCTATATTCCTGGCACTTGCATGGTGCCCTGACTCATTGCAAGGGGCCTGTAGCTTTATTCCCTTTGAGGAAGGAAGGGATGGAGAGAGTAAGTCAAAAGCAGAACCCAGCCTGTTCACCTATTATGCAAAGTGGCAGGGAGACAATCACTCAGGCAAGCCTGTACTAAGTGGTGTTGCCGGAAAGCAGTGAAGCCCAGTTGACCCATCTGGATCCCATCTACAGCATTCTGCATATGCACGCACACACACACACACTACAGTGAATGTCCACAATTTGGTGACTGTCAGTAGATGAATATTTAAAATTCTAGACATATGTGATTGCCAGGAAACAAAGGGTGCTTGCAGAGGGTGGGTGCCTGGAATAGCAAGGAAATGCGCTGTGCGGCTTTCCTGCATGTTGAGACAGAAGGAAGCGCTACAACTCTCCAGATGCCCCAGCCTGAATGGAGCCAGCATGCTAGGAGGTGTAGTACTTTTTCCCTCATATGCATGTATAAGATGTGCCCTTTTTAGATAGTTTCTGGTAAGAATACAGATGGGAAAAGCAGTTGACCAAGACAGAATGGTTACAAATTGAAGATATTGTTACCTGGACCTCCTGTAAATCCTGTGAATAAATAAGAGCAATAGCCAAATAAAACCTCATCTGAGAGACAGTCAGACAGACAGAGACAGAGCGAGAGAGTGAGACAGAGAGAGAGAGAGAGAGAGAGAGAGAGAGAGAGAGAGAGAGAGAGAGAGAGAGAGAGAGTTTCTTAATAGTATAAAAACACACAGTCAACAGGCAGCTTCTGGGAATGGTCTGCTCCTGTGGGGCTTTTCCCCTCCCACTTCCACAGTTGCTCTCTATGCCCACAAAAACCCACTCCAAGACCTGGAGGTCCTTGGAGTCACAATCCATAAGCAAGGATATTGCACTATAAAGTAACACTCACCCATGGAGGTTGTATCAACTATTTTCCCAGAAGCAAACAGTGAGGAAGAAAGTTCAGTCAAGAGATTGCAGTATATTCTCCATATATACTGGAATCAACGTAACCTAAAAAGTTGGGCATTTTCAGCATCATTTTGATTGGAAATAGCTCCCTTTACAAACTGGAAGCATTAAGAAAAAATGAGATTCAGTGATGACCTTTATCAGCTCTGATGACAGCTATAAATCAGGCTGAAATTCTCATCAGCCAACTGGACAGAATTCATTACAGGCACAGATTGCTGCGTTTCTTTCTGCCTTTGATTGAGGGGCACCCTATTAAAATGAATACAGCTTCAATAATATGAACCATAGATTTCAAAACACATACAGAGGCCTATTACTCATTGATTCTTAAGACGACAATGATTACAAGACTTGGAGAGTACCAAAGCCTTATTGTGTTTTGCTTAGGGTCACAAAGCCAATCAATTTCTGTTTCTTTAAAGCAAGCCAATTTGCTTTTCATTAAATTTCGATCCATTGCTCGTGATGCATATTGACTATAGTAGTGAGGCCTACACCCCCAGCAGATCAATGCTGGTAATTTCCCCTCCCTTTCCTTCTTTTTAAGAGGTGCGGGATGTATGGCCTGGACTTCCAGAAGCCCGTGAAATCTTTAGAAGATGGCTTAAGTATTCCATGCATAACATGCATTTTGTCAACTGCTGCGGTGATGTTTTTCTGCACAACTCTAACAGGATTCTTCTTATACACCTGGGAGCAGCAATCTGGAAGACCAGTTTCATGTCATTTCTAATATCACTCTCTTTGGGGCCAAAATTTGAGGTTCTTGGGTCCTAACTTAGCTGCTAACTTATAGCACTGTAATTCCACTGCAGCATGCCAGTTATTCTGGGCATGCCACTGATGAATGGCTAAGAATCTCCTGACATCTCTCACTCCATCACAGTTCCCAGGGGACTGACTGCAAACCAATGTAATCTGTAGTGTAGTCATTTCCTTAGGCCTTCTCAGAACAAAACTAATATTTTCTTAGAACAAAAATAAATGCATACTTTTTCCTCGATCAATACACATGGAATTTAAGCAGATGTGTTTACCAGTGCTTCCATTTCCTCTCCAATAGCTTTTTTAATGTGATGGGCTGGAAAAAGACTGAGTCTAAGCAACCATGGGGGCTTGTAACCACGAGGAGCCTTTCAGTTCCCTGCATCTGGAGGACACCAGCTTGGAAAGAAGGCATTGGATTTTGAAGAAATTCACTTTTGGGGGACGCTTTCAAAACTGATCTGTCTGTTGTGGGACCCCTGCAGGTGTGGCTCGGAGTCCTGGCTTTGCAGAAGATGCTGGGCCTGTTCTAGCGTACAGTGTCTGTTCATATTCACATGGAGTATTGACAGGATCATTCAGAAGCCAAGCTGTGCTCTCCTTCGTAAGGACTGCCTTCTGCTCGGTGCACATTTATACAACTGTTCTGAAGCAGCCTTGCTCACTCTGGTATGCTCCAGATGCATTGGCCTACAGCCCCCAGGCTTCTCCCAGTTAGCATTATTATCTAGGGGCTTCTGGGAGTTGTAGGCCACTGCTCCTGGAGGGTACCAGATTGGGGAAGGCTGTTCTAGAGGCTCCAGGAGGTCTTTCTCCTCACCTGCTGCTGAGCATTTAAACTCGACATGCTGGGGATGAAACCTGGACCTGTTGGCTTGCCAAGCCTGTGCTGCACCCCTAAGCTGTGGGTCCATCACGCAAGCCCTCTGTGCCACATGGGACCAAGTAGTTCCATGGACACCTCACTGTTGTTCTCTTGTCTTCCCTCTTTTAGATACAGAGTTCATTTACAAAGACCGGAATGGCTCCGTGATAGTGTACAACGTTGAAACAAACAGCTCGACCATTTTGATAGAGAACAAAATAATTGTAAGTACCTTCTTTAATGAGCAGAATAATTTCACAGTTGTCTGGCACTCAGACTGACAAAGAAGGAAATGGCATTTTTGCACTTCTTGGGCCTCAATAATAACAAGCTTTTCACATGGGCTCGCCAAAACAGAAATGGACGGTGCAAAGCTCAGATCTTTGGACAGGCCCGGAGCTCCGATGCTAGCGCTGCTTGACAGATGGCTGACCTTCCAGGTCCCTCCTTCTCTTTGTAAAGTGAGATGTTATCTTTGGACAGCTTGACAGCAAGCATGCAAGAGAAAGCCTGGGTAGGAACTTGGATCAGTTTACCATTGCATAAAAGCAGCAGGGGTCAAAACAGCATTCATGTCTCCCCCCCAAAAAAACCCCTTACACATGTTTTGCCTTCATAGTTCTCAAGAGCAGTTTGCCGGTGCATCTGTCTGTTGCTAGTAGCAGTCTAGTGATTCAAGGCAGGGTGAGAACCAGGCTAAGACAAGACATGCCTGCTGAATCCCCTCCCACAATCCTTTCAAGAGTAGAGAGGGTCATTGCAGAAGGAATCCCAGAATGGCTTGGCCTTCCTGCAGTGGTATCCTTCCCATCCACAAAGGTCCCCCGATAAATTATCGCAGTGCAACAGAAAAGGAATATTCCATAAGGTTTTAATATATTGACGGTGTGCAAGATTCCATGACTGGGTCTTGCTTCTCCTTAATGCGACTGAGCGAATTCTGCCCTGCTGCACCATTTGTGCCAGTGCTGCATGCTCCCTGGGAGATGGTGCCATGCCAAAAAGTTCTCCCACATTTTTTCTGATTTTTCTCCTTCACTCTGGAAGAAAATAAATTGCTTTGGAAAATCAAAATTTGCTTTGGAAAAGTCAGTGTTGAAGAATATTTCAGAGAACTGTTCTTGGCTTGGGACTGGCTTTCTTGTGCTTACTCTACCTGGGAGGATGTCAAGGTGTGTGCACTTGTCCTGGTTTTGATTGTGCAGGGATTGTTCTGGTGTTCGGTCACCTCCTTGGCTTCCCATGCTTGCACTGAAGCCCAGGAGAAGGCACCTTAAGGTAGTTCCTCTCATGGAGGTTTCTCAGATCAGGATATGTGGGCAGCTTTGGAGGCAGCAGAGAAGAGCAGTGCAGAGATGAATAACCATAGGAGGGCAGCACAGGTGCAGCACCCTTGGCCGCCTTGCAGGGATAAGGTCAGCAGTGTTCACCCCCCATGAGTGAAGCAGAGCAGTGGAAGCTTCCTTCATGGAAGAAGAAAACTTTCAGGAAATTGGAATACAGATCTTGACATAGCAGCAGTCCATCCTCTTTCCCAAAGCTAAATGTAATTTTATTTATCTGTTTATTTATTAGATTTATTTTGCACTTTTTTAAAGACCTGTAAGTGGTTTACAACATTCTCCTCCTGCTGCTCTCAGTGTTATCCCCACAACAACCACCCTGTGAGGTAGGTTGGGCTGAGAGTCTGTGACTGGCCCAAAGATACCCAATGGGCTCATGGCTGAGCAGGGACTGGACCCCCGGTCACCTGAGTCCTAAACCTGTGCTCTTAACTGCTCTTAACCGCTGCACCTCACTGGATCCGTTCAGTTGCATTGTGACTGGTGCCAAATGGAGGCTAGGCTGCTAACTGTTGCCACTTTCCAGGAAAGCCCAACCTCTGTGTGTGTGTGTGTGTGTGTGTGTGTGTGTGCGTGCACACCCTTTACATGTAAAATTTAAAGAACGAAATTTGCTATAATTCCTGCAAATGGTGAGCCCTTCCTGTGAGGAACTTGACGATTTCTCCTTTCCTTGGAAAGTTTTGGTGAAATGGTCCCCACCCACCCACTTCCTCTGCACATGAAGAATAGAGAGAATTTTGACAGCCCATTTGCGACATCTTCCCCTGGGGCAGAGTCCCTGGCAAAGCCTGGATATTCGATGGTGTTTGCAGTGCCAGAACTTTGGATATCGATCCTCCTCTCCCTTCTCTTTAAATTGCTACAGGAGTATCTGGACAATTCCCATTACAAAATGCACACGTGTTGTTCCATGGCAAGCCTTTCTCACCCATCCACAAAAAGACCTGTACAAGTGCATCGTGGCCCCGTTGTCAACTTTTCAAATCGATGTGTGCCTTTAAAATGTATTTATTGAAGTGGTTGGCTTTTGTTTTGTTTTTAGGTTTCCATGAAGGCCATTCGATACGAAGTTTCACCAGACAGGGAATATGGGCTTTTCGCATATGAAGTTGTACCGGTAAGTAAACTGGCTACGTTATGGCCAAGCAGCAGGCGGCATTTTCCTTCTTTGATGAGACGACGTAGCTTCATTCATCCGGTTATGCAGATGTTCCTCTGGAGTAAACCTTACTTCTTCTGGGGCACAGGGCATGTTCAAAGAGTGACCCCACGGCCCTCTGGAGCAGTGCCAAAAGGAGGAGAGGCAGCGGCAGCAAAATGGTGATACAGGGTGGATGGGGCGGATTGGTTAAATGGGGCAACACATGAGCACAGGGGAAGAAAATGATGTACGGGTCTTCTCAGAAGTGTGACTTAGCTGGGCCGAATCCTGCCATCCCCATCCAGATGCTTGGATGCCTCTGAACTTGGAGACTTAGCAGCATCCAGTGGCAAGCACAGGGCAAGGCAGGACTGTTCCTGCTGCCTGTGTCTCTCGTGCCGTCTTTTCTCCAGATAGTCTTACTCCATATATTCCTGCCCATTGTGTAAGGCCATCAATGGAGGCCCTCCTATCAGGAGTAAGGAGGGAGGTTCCAAGGAGAGGGCCTTTTCTGTGGTGGCACCCCAAGTATGGAATGCGTTATTATCAGAGATCCGTCAGGTGCCTCCTGTTTTAGGCACCTAACTAAGACTTTTCTTTTCCAGTGCCCCTATGGCACCACTTAGTTTATTTTTCATCAATTTGCACCAGTCTTAATTTACTAACTTCAGCTTTATTCTTGTTGATTATTTATGCTATTTTATCTTTTGTATTTTAATTATATTGTTTTATTTATATTACCTATTGGTAATTTTATCGTAATGGCTGCCCAGACAGCATGATGCTAATGGGTGGTCTTTAAATGAATTTAATAAATAAAATAAGTAATAAATAAAGACAGAACTTCAGCTTCAGGGCTAGAAATTCATTTGTTTCCACCAAACAAAATAGTGTTCAAGGTGGTTAATAGTAATAAAAATAAAACAGGTTCAAAATATATTCAAAACAAATATAAAAACAAATTCATTAAGATGCAATTAAAACAACTCCTCTCTTTTTCTGTCGTATCTACCTACTTCAAAAGGTGTATTACTGTAACACCTGGGCAGTTCTAATTTCTCCAGTAAGACTCCATCGATCTACATATTTTGTAATATGTCATCCACATTTATCTCCCAGTTGTAATAGATTTGGGACTTTACCAGCAAAATGATGAGATTTCACAGGAAACTAAGCAAGGCAGTGCATGAAAATACATTAGAACAAACCATTCCATTATCAAGCGGAAACACAGTACACATAGCAGAAAACTGGTACTCTCAAACAAGTGAAGCCTGAATGTATAGTCACATTGGCTATTTTAATACTAGCTTTTTTTAATTGAGAAATCACTATTTTCCCAAGTGGCTCACACTGCCATCTAGCAGATGCAAAGGGCATCAACTGAACTTCGGTGGATACGGAAATTGTCGACCTAACAGGTTGTACAGTCATGTCTTGACTGCAAGATTTTCCTGCCTTCCCTTTTGTATAGTTTTTATAGTGTTCCTAGCAAGCCTCTTTCCTCAATTGCTCTATAAATGTTAACAGAAAGTAAATGTCAATGTCTTTTGCTGCTGAAATAGCATGTTAATTATAACTTTTCCATTTCTAGTTCTAGAGCTGAGACAAAGCTATTAACGTTTATTATTATATTCAGAATCTCACATCCAAGGAATTTGAACGGAAGTACCACTGTTTACAGAATCTAAGTATGCCAAATTTTCAAAAGAGAATAATTAGGATAAAAGATACGTAGTCTCCTTCGTAGATCTTTCTCCATCTCCAGGAGCAGCCATGGCCAACCAAACTGAGCCACTCTCTAGCATCCATCTAGGTGTCTGTCTGTCAGTCAGTCCATCATCCACCATCTTTTTCAGCTTGAATCCTGTGCAGAATAATGGTATACTGGGGCCATGTTACAGACGCAGATTTATTATATTAGAAAGCAGCTTTCCTAATATAATGCCTATTTGAACATTATTTTCACTAATATGTGCATGTTTGTATTAAATGCAAAATTTAGGAAAGTGTGAATTTTGAAGTCAAATTAAGTTTTGTTCAAATAGTTCAAAATATGCTGGCAAATGGAACAAATTTCTCCCCTTCTGTTCCACAGAACAGAACTATTTATTTATCGTAGTTATATGCCACCCACTAACCAAAACTTTCTGGGTGGTTCACCACCATTAAAGTGATAAAATGCACTATAGCAGTTTAAAAGTCTAAATCTGAAGTATGAAATAGAAGTAAAAGCCAAAATAAAGCCCATCAGTAGTAAAGCAATTTAAAATACAACAAAGGACTCAAAGCAGAGACTGAAAGACTAAACAAATTCCAGGGAAAATGGGGTCTTCCCTGATTCCTGGAAGAGCACAATGGAAGAGACAGGTCAGCTTCTCTGGGAATTGACACCACAGCTGGGGTGCCACCACGGAAACAGTGCTCTTCTTAGTAGCAGGGACTGCCAGAGAAGGTCAGCTGGGGGCAGTCTTAGGGTCTGGGTTGATATATATGGGAGGAAGTGATCCGTTAGGTAACCTGGCCCCCGCACTCTTAGGGCTTTGAACATTATTATTAGCAGTTGACTTTGGTCCAGAGATGGACTACCAGCCAGCGCAAATGGTCAAGCCTTGGTCTAATGTGATCACATTGGCCAATGCCTTCTAACAACCTCATTGTGCTATTTTGGAATTTTCGGACAATTTTGAAAGGCAGCCCCACCTGGAACAACTTCGGCCCTGACAATTCACTCCCAGGAGCTTTGTGCTCTGCACCTCCACATGGGAACATGTGCAGAGAGCCCCTGCTTGCATGTCCTAATGAAAGTACTCAGATGGGGCAAAGCCTGCAGTTCTTCTGATCTGCAGTTTCTCGGCTGTTTTGACATCAGGCATGGTGGTTGTGCAAAAAGAACTTTGGTTGAAATAGCCCAGTCTTTAGGACAAACAGGAGATAACCAGGAATACAGTAACGGATAAATAAAGAGATACAGGGATTTTTATCTGACTGAAATTTCCTACTCTAAGCTTTCTCTGTATTCCAAATCATTTCCCATTTATCGGTAAAAGCATTCTGCACGTGTTCAGAAGTTTCTTCTTGTTTGGTTTTATGCTTCCAATCTTGGATGGACCATTGGTCTGATTCAGCATGGCTTGTCCTCTGTTCTTATGTTCTAATGGATTATTTTAGTAAGTTTGTAATCGTGTGTTCTCTTACCTGGAATAAACCCCATTGAATTCAATGGCACTCAGTTCTGAGGAGGCTTGAAGAAGGTTGCACCATAAAGTTTGTACATAGTGCTCATTTTTTTGGCCCCAACATGTTATCAGTTTATCAAAAAGTCACTGAAAACTTGTTTGACTGGCTTAAAGGGTGATTTTTAAAATTGGCAACGGTTTTCTGATGTGCTTTTAATTATTTTTAATACAAGTGCTTGCAAGCACAACAGGTGGCCAGTACTATCTTTAGTCATCCCTCCTCACACTCCCGGTCTCTCTCATGAAAGAGAAAATCTCTTCTTAAGAAGGTTTCCTGCTAAGATATTTGCACACACTTCCTGTTTTGTTCACATGCAAATTTAATTTATTAATTGACTGATTCTCATACAATTAGTCTGCTGATCTGTAGGTCATGACAGCTCTTATTACTTTATTCTGACAGATGCCCCCTGGATTTGGCAAAAGCCAAAATAGAGAGGGAAGTGGAAAATAAATATAAATATCTGTCAGAAATGAGTGAGCTAGGTAGAGAGGGGCAAAATTTAAAGAGACTTCCCTCTCTCCTCCCACATTTCCATAGTGCTCTCTCCATCCCTGGAGTTCTGAATCGATAGGTGTAGGGGCAGAGTTTCCAGACAGAGGAATAAAATTCACAAAGTTCATGCCACCATAAATATTACAAATTGTAGACTGGAATGAAATTATTAGTCTAAGGCTGCCTTCCCCAACCCATGCCCACCTGGGATGTTTTGGACTTCAGTGCCCTTCAGCTAGTATGGCAAATGGACCAGGATCTTAGGAATTGTCACCCAAAACAACCAGAGGAGAAACTGGTATGAGATGACACGGGACGTTTTGTCTGCTTCACCTGTAATGTTTGCATCTGCTCTCCTGACTAAATAAAACCTTGTCTCCTAAGAAATTAGTGTGGGTGGAGAGGAGGGTTCTTCTCTGCATCCAGCATCATTTTATGATAAAAAGGTAAAGCTCCAACATCCATATATTATGCATTACAAGGCTGCCTAGCCAAAGCATTCTCACTCCCTTAGAGTCTTCCTCGAGTCTTCCATTTTGGCTGTTGATCCAGTCTAATAGTGTTAGGAGCAGGATGTTTTAAAGATTTGACACAAATGCCTTGTCTGTGGCAGAGTCTTGGCAGTTAGTTTCAGAATGCAGTCAATTCCTGAACTGTCCACATCAATCCTAAATTTCTGGCAACCCTCATTACAGCTATGGATTCTTTGGGGACTGGATATCTTGGATAAAGATTTCAGTGATCCTTAAGTTGCAGCATCTCTTGCCAAGAGATTCGCAATTGTTTAAACAGTAAGAAAGTCTTAAGCCAGATTATGTGTTTAGACTTCTAATTGCATATGATCTGTATTGGAGACTGAGTTTTAAACTGTCCAGACATAGACTTTCTGGTACTCTGAACAGAGATCTATGAATTTATTGAGTGGCTAGATCTTAGTAATGTTTAAACACAGTATAATATTGTGCAAGTTCTTAGGTAATCTAAATTAACCAGTGTAGTTTGTGTAATTGGTAATAAAAGACACACCGGAAAGTAAATGAAGGGGAAAGTGGCTGTTGAGTGACACAGCAAGATAGTAAACCAAGAATCCTTAACCACTTTCCTTGTAAATGACCGTAGCTCTAATGGGGTGCAGCAAAGATAAGGGCCCCAATTTTCTTAAAGCTGTTTGTTCTTTGCTTCTAATTTAGTAGCCCATTGCAATGTTGTCTGTTAGCTAAGTACATATTAAGAATGAAGTA